TATTATTATTATTATTATTATTATTATTATTATTATTATTATTATTATTATTATTATTAAGTATTCATACTTCCACTCATACCACCCAATGCAATCATTTTCCATCGTAAGGCTCGAATCTATAATGCAATCCGGACTTGAGCTACCAACGTAAGTTTGGACATCGATGCCACGACGTTAGCGACTAATCAATATTTAAACTTCAAATATTTTATAAAACTAGATACCTGTAAGTTCCAGTTTAGTTCTGCGCCAATTCAACGCGGTACCATTACAACCAAATTTTGAAAGGATTCTTTCTTAAACGGTCGAGAAACCACATTACGTGAAGATGAGATTGTATGTATGTACTTCGCACGGCAGCCCGTGAACGGACTCAGGTCTACCGGCGACGACCCTGCCTCGTGGCCATGGGTTAAGGGGGTACGTGTGGTTAGCACGTAGACATCCCCACGCCGTATTCCGGCCTTCTCAACCTGAGAAGTAAATTTTATCATCATCACACAGTAACATACAGTTGGACAATGAAATAAAACGAAACATGACTCGACCGGGAATAGAACCCGGAACCGCCTAGTGGAAAGCGAGTACGCTGCCCAATAGCCCGAGGGAAAAATTAAAGATTCAAAATGTTACCCCCAAGTATGGTTTCTAAGAGAATTTTGTTTAACGCAACCCGCATTGTATTTAGGTACGTAGAGTAGCTGTCCAGGCAGGGGACTTTCTGGGCGAGGACAGGTGAGGCAGGGCTAGAGGGCAGGATGGGAATAGGGTGCGGGCGGGGGCGGGCAGGGTGGAGACAGGCGGGAGGGGCGTGGCATGGTGGAACGTACGCGAGGCGGGTGTGTAAATAACCGAAATATTCAGAGAAGTATCTGCAATATCACGGAGTCATACTGTATTGGAAAAATATTAAAGAATACACACAATTATATTTCAACTATTTATGAATATTTTCATATTTTGTTTTTTAATCACACTGGACGAATCAAGAGCTCAATGGCGTCGGAACTGTGGATAGGAGGCAGAGGGGATACATATTTAAATTAAATTAGTGCTATTCTTCGATATTACAGTGTATTACACATCACATATCACTGGTCACGCGATTGCTAATCACGTTTTAGACTACGCTGTGAAAAACTTCTAAAAGATGAAAGACTTTCTCGCAAGTATCGTTTTGTTCTATGTCATGGTTTGGATATGGTTGATATATATCCGATTGCTAAAACGTTCTCCCACCCTCACATTTGAGCATGCGTTCGCTATGACACTATCTTTGGAGCCAGTTGTCCGGGGCTCAAGTAATAATTCCGGCCGATATTTTACAGTCACTGGGAGAGAATACTTATACGCAGTAAAGACGCGCCTATTCTCTGACTGGGCAGTGAGTTGCGTAGTGTTCAGGGGCGCCTGAGTTGTCCTTAACGAATAAATCATTATCAACAACGCCCCCGCATATCCGATTTAATTCATACCACTCTTTCAACACACCCACTTCTAATAATAACAAAGTGCGAAAAATTTAATTAAAATCGGTCCAGTAGATTTTGCCTCTATGCACATACGCACATTTCCTTTTAATTATACATATAGATAATACATTTATTTCAGACATCGTAATCTCTATAAATTACACAAAAATTATTCCAGAAGCTACGCATTTAGTACTATCGTGTTGTGGAAGTAAAATTATAGCCCCTTTAATTCTAAAATGATTATTGATTTTATTATTTGATTACGAATAGCTTGCTATTGGTTTTTGTTGATGCGTTGCAATTTCAAGCCCTTCTCAAATGTCAAAAAATTACTGTGTCATGAGTCGAGTAATGACCACAGTTTTTTATTGCAATTCTTATTAATGAAACGTATATCTATGACGTTTTATCGCCAAGATTTCATCACTACGTTTTACACATAAGCTTGTGGTGCTATTTAATGCAGGTCACATTTAGATTACATGTGAATGACTGTCCGCAAGTACGGGACAACAAAAATAGAAACTCTTCAAAAATGGGAATAATTGTAAATACATCAATAAGAAAAGAAGAAAAAAACTTGAAAAAACAGCGTCAAATTTGAACCACACTCCTCCCTCTCCAATTTAATATTCCAATTTAGGAGTCATTGACAACGTTCGTTTCGAGTCAATTATTAATCGGAAATTTGATTAGTGTACTTACAGAAATCACAGAACGTAGGACAATTGTGAAATTATCATCAATTTTTATTAGTAAAATTGGTAAAAGTTCAATTATTAAGTATGTTCCCAGGGTTAAGGGTTTATGTTACTTACTTTTACCTTAAAACCACTGCTCAATGCTACAAGTGCAACAGAAAAGCTCTGGAATTACAATTGCATTGCTTTTTGATATTAGTTAAAGATAAGACTGCGTAGGGTATTGCTTAATAACAGCGAAATGTCAGCATTTCAATTTCTAAGATTCAGTAACACGCTACTCGGAAGTAAATAAATAAAAAAATATGTCAACTTTGTTTCAGAGTGTTCCACCACCAAGATTTTGTTGCAATGTTGTTATTTTTCAGAGGATCCTAATTTGAATCCAAAGGATTTATGATTTTAGAAATTGAAATTTAGAAATATATTAATTTCATGTTCAATACTTTCCATTTGGTGCCAATACGATGGAGAATCTGACTGAAATTTGTAGGGTAAAATTTACATAATGTATTGGCACAAAAATATTTTTTTGCGTTTTTTCTTGTTTCTTTTGTCTAAAATCCCATTTTTTCCGTTCCTAAAATGAGATGTAACTAGTTTCCATTATTTAAATATCGATTACCTCGTACCACCGTAGGAGTGAAAGACAACAAACTAAAAGAAATCGAAAGCACGTGCAGTCGTTTCTAACCGCCAAATCAAACGAAGACCATGAGGACCTATCGTTATTCGATGACGTTTAATGCAATATTTTCCGTGGATAATTTCATTTTCATGAAGACTAGGCTTGCTTGCCAATTCAGGCTGCTCAACTGAAATACTCTGCGCTGCACCGAGACGCGCGCGGGAACCTAGTATTACGTTGAGAAGATAGGAAGCGAGTGCAACTGCAACGGTAATTTGTTCCTTCAATGTAGTGAATGTTATTCCCCTGGACGTGGCAGTGTTCATTCCCAATGAGATCTGGCGCCAACCTACGTATATGTCAGCTTGTAAAGGATTTCTGCCCTGCCGGAACGCTGCCCTAGCGGGGACAAACTCCTAGTTCCAAACATGCGAGGTACAGTAGTGTATGAACGTATGTGTATGTGAGAAAGAGACAAAGAAAAGGAAGGAAAGATTACGTCAACCACTCGACCCAGAGCAGCTACAGCGCGTATGTTCGTGCAGCGCACAGTAATTCAAGTGCGGGCCTAGAAATTTTCGACGTAAAGGCGTTGGATACAAACGTTCTTAAAGAACATTCAGGCTGCGTGATATTTTTGTCATAACAATTAAGGGACATCTTATACATACGTAAAAAATTATTTGATTATGTTTTTCAGGTCTGAAGAGGGAATACTTAATCTCTTTCAAAATTATCATTATAGTGGCTTTAGTTTTCAAAATGTCGGAAACCAATCTTATCTAGCAAATCAAGTTCAATTTGAAATATAAAGAAATCAAATAGATTACTTCCTTCTAGCTGATTTTTACGAAAATATTACACACTACTAAATACACATCAATGAAACGTTCTTTAATTTACTAATTGGAATTTCACAATGCCCCCTTCAAAATGCTTTATGATAAATAAACGCGATATTTATATTAATTAACAGGGTGATTATTAATTAAATTAACAGGATCATTTACAATGTAGCGACTTGCACAGGAGAAATGAAAAGGACCTTTGAGAGGCCGTTTTTAAGGATCGTGATTCACTTTTCTTTCTTTCTCATTCTCTCTCTCTCTTTCTTTTTTTCTTTCTTCGTTTCAGAATCGCGACAAGGCGCGGGGAAGCGCGGGCGGGAGCGGGTCAACGGATGCGTTTGCGGCAGCGGGCAGCAGCAGCAGCTCGTGGCAATTAGTCTACCTGGCTAATACACTCACTGACGACTCTGTCAGGCACGGCCGGGAACTGCTGCTTGAGCTCGTGGAAGAGCTGCATGATGGCGATGTTGGTGCAGCCGCAGGTGGCGGCGGCGGCGGCGGCGGCGGCGGCGGCAGCGTCGTCAGCGGCAGCGCCCGCCATCTTCAGCCATCACTCCCGCCCCGCACCGGCCCCGCACCGCCCCGCGCGCGCCCTGCAAACACAACACGGCCCTCCGTCACCGGGGCATTCCTCGCCACAAGACAGCAAAGCACGCCATTTTTCTTCCAACGTGTAAAAATGCGGGTTAAGTTAATCTTTTCTTAAAATATCTAAAAAACGTGCCATCACCGCACGTAAAATATTTTTTTTTCTACTCCCATTGCATAATTCTGCCATTTGTTAGCTGCAACCCATTGCAGCCTAATGATATTCATGATGATACATATTTCATTGTGATACAAGTTCTTGACCAATCACAGAGAAGTTTACAAACCAAATATTGACAGTTAATTAATCAATGAGAATCGTTCTCGTGAAAGTTGCGTTCGATTGTATTCATTAAAATTGAATTTAATATATTACGCTTGTCAGGTTGAATTTCTTTTATTATTAATATTTTACGAATATTATTTAAAATAAATGTTTTGGTAATTTCACTTCGATTCTATTTGACTTGCCCATTGATAGTTATTAGAGGGAACATTTAACTGACGTTAAGATCAGAACGCCAGTCTTTTGTGTGATATGTTTCTGTTGTCCTTAACATCCGGCCTGTTCTTCAGTTTAAAATATTTAGTGATCGGAGGTGGAGTTGACACATCCAGAAATAAGAGACAAAGCGAAAATGGTGTCGCCGGAATTATTGCCGCAAAAATCACTAAAAGTGTACGAAAAAGTATACCAGCAGTTTATGGAATGGCGACAACACAAGAACATTAATTCGCATTTAGAAAATGTTTTGCTTCTTTATTTCGAGAAATTAGCGGAATAAATGAGATCATCAAAGTTGTGAACAGATTATTCAGTTTTGAAATCTACCTTAAATATTAAGCACCAGATTGATATAACCAAATATGGAAAATTAAATACTTTATGAAGAAAAATAAAAACTTTTTTCGTTAGGTTAACTTAATATGCTCATTAATTCCATGAAAAATCGTCGATAATCATTGTGTTTATGGCATGCATGCCATTAAAACTTAGTCGTGCAATTAAAAGTTCACAATAGCCAATCAGAACTTAGAGAACTGATTGGAATCGTTTAATTTTTTATCTATAACAGACGTAGCCAAAGTATTTCCAGACGGCCATGAAACATGAGCAAAAAGGTACATCGCGTATTACGTACATCAAAAACATTTAATCAATGAACTAATGAAACAAAATTGTAAACGATTAATTATTACTTAAATAACCTTAGACAATCATGTTAATATTTGTACTACAATAAGTTAAATTAGAAACTATTACCCTACTCATATTATGCATCAATCATCCTAACCCCGAAGTCGCTTTATATTGCACAGAAGTATTTATTTCACCTCTTTGGACGTGACGACCCAGCGAGAGCCGTTGTTTTGGCAAAACTCCTTAATTTGTTTGGAAAAATTAAGTAAATTGTTCATAATTTAAAATATCGATATTCTCATTTCACAACACGTCGTCAACATTAACAAGTATGAACATAAGCATGAGGGTTTGACACTAGCTAACTAATGAAACCACATAAAATATTTAACATAAATAAATGTGTTGCATGTAAAACCTTTGGTCTTAGCATATTACAAATATAAAAAATGTAATCGTCAGTTGTAATTACCCGCTCTGGATTCGTTCCTTCCGACCAACTCTACAAAGAACTAAACATCGCACCCACAGTCAGCCGTATTAACTATCTTTACTCCAGTTTATATTTTTCGTTACCACAAATTCCCACGCACTCAACCTCGTCCGAAATCATCCCCCCCAAAGCCTAAATTAAAAACACGTTATCTCTACATATTCATGAACAAATTAGCAGAAATTATCACGTGGTTATTTGGCTTCCCCATCCATGCATTAGATCACCAATGTACGCAAGCTAGTAGTAAGAAACCAAACCATATGTATTGTATAGTGACAATTTCTTATTTTGAATTTTATTAAAAAAGAATAAAATCAAAACAAATATTATTGAACGACAATACTATCTACTTTTATCTAGAATAGAAAGATCCGCTCGCTCCTTCTTCGCTCGTGAGGTAAACGCACCTTCGGAAAAAACCACACACACAATGCAGTTCGTGACCGTGTTGCAATATGAATTATAATACATTTATAAGTGCTTGATAATAAATATACTTCCTAATAATTATTACACCGTAACCCATACATTATCATCCGGCAACAAAATTTCAGCATGTTAATGTGGGATTATGCACTTACCAAAAGGCAGTATTTCATAGGCCTCTGACTTCAGAGATACAACAACACATTTCTTTGACATTTTCAAAACGAGGGCAATTTCTAACATTCTTATCGTAGTAATAGCATCATAATGGACAGCAGTCACCATTTGGCAAGTGCGAAGGCAATTCTGAATGTTCTTGTATACTGATTAAAGAAGCAATCAATGTGGCAAACATTAACAAGCATAAGGACGAAACTAAATTGTTTACACAATGCTATTCGTGTTAATGTACGTATAAAGAACCCATGACAGCACCCGTTGACGTAACAATGCTTGTCAAAGGTTTCGCACGAGTGCTCTATCCAAATGTAAGCGCAATGTTAACATATTTTAGACACTAAAATGTATTTTAGATTAGTCAACGTTTTTGTTCCTTTATTGAACTATAATATTCATTTTAAATAAAAAATAAAAAACAACTTTAGACAAGATCCGTAGGACCACGAGCATGCCAGACTCTTCTTCTAGCTTCCTTTAATTCTTTTTTCTCATCTTGCAAACCACACATTCACGTTCGTGTTTGTCCTTAAATACACACAAACTCGAAGATTGGTATAAGGCGACGCCAGATCCAGGAGAACCCAATGCATTCCGAGTGCGTTATCCGTCAATTGGCGCTTCTGCTTGCCTAGGAGTGAAAGAAGGGCGAGGGGGGGGGGAGGGAAGGGGATGTGTTAGGAGAGAGGGAGGAGGGGGAGGGGGCGGAGGCGCCTCTGCCAAAGGACGGCTCATTAGCAGGGATGCGGTCACGGGCGGTCACCTCAAAGAGCGCTGGGCGCTTCTGCTCGGAGACATTTACCGCGGCGCACGGGATCTGATAAACCCTCGCCCCCGTAATGAGAGTGTGGATGAGCGCGGAGAGAAGTGATGCAGCAACGCGGCGGCGGCGGTGGTGGCGGGCGGCGGCGGCGGCGCGCGGCTGGCGGCGGACGGCCGGCGGCGGCGGCGGGCGGCGGAGTCATGGTGGTGCAGTCGGTGGTGGTGGTGGTGTGGTGGTCGTTAGGTGGTGGTGGTGGCTGGGGTGGTGGTGGGGCGGTCGGTCGGTGGCGTGGGGTGGTGGCGGTCGGCCGGCGGCGGCGGGCCGGGCGGCGGCGGTCGGCGGCGGCGGCAGGGCGGCGGCGGCGGCGGCGCGGCGGCGGCGGCGGCGGGCGGCGGCCGCGCGGCGCGGCGGCGGGCGGGCGCGGTGGTGGAGGCGGCGGCGGGCGGCGGCGCGCGGCGGCGGCGGCGGTGGCGGCGGTTGGCGGGCGGCCGGCGGCGGTCGCGCCGGCGGTGGCGACTCTTCTGCAACGCAGGAATCCGCGCCGCGTATTTTGAGGGGGTCATAAATCCACACCCACGGCCCGCCGGACAACCGCGCGTCACGCATGGCAGGAAGAAGCAATTTCCACTGCGCAAATGTATCAATGGAGGAGGAGCTCTCTCCACGCCAACCAGACCTCGTGCGTTCATTTGTATCTCCCACAGGGCTAAGGCTCTGGCACACAATTGAAATGCAGCAACGAATTAATAAAGATCGATTGATGAGATGTAGCAGACACTGACTACCTGACACACTGACTTTAGATGAAATTGTCTTCATCGACATTTTTAGTTTCCTTTGAATGATGACCTCGTCGGTTTCTGGCTACTAGATGGCAGATTAGATAACTATGTCGAAGCCTTTGAAAGTTCATCATTTAAAGGAAACTTTAAAAAATGATAAAGAAAATTCCCAAGTGCATTACAAACAAATCAATAAATTACTAGAATATTAGAGTGGTTCGAATACATGGAATTAACTGTTGATTATTTGATATGACTACAGAACGAGAAGACTTAGGAAATATTAATAAAAGTATACACAGAGCTATTTGATAAAGTGTTACGGTGTATAAAATTGCTAATGTAATAGCAAATTTCGAAACTTAATATATTATAATAATGATGTTCTAAATAAATTGTTGCTAGTGTTCTCTCACAAGTCATTTTTATTTCAGCCAATTTCGGGCCAAAAAAAAAAGTAAATACCAAAAATAAATAACAATCAAATCCTCATCCCTGGATCACTCAATATGTAATTAGTATAGAAAAAAACAGGTCGTATGATTCTCTGAAAAGTGAAAGCAATCAGTTGCTGAAAGCAAGTGTTTATCCAGCCAACAACAGACTATATATAACAGGAACACTCTAGTTTGAAAAAAAAAATAAAGAATACAAACAATTTGGTCTACATGCGTTAACACTTCTTCAGACGCTGAGGAAATACTTCTGAACAACAGAATTTCTCTATGGCCCAATCAAGAAGCGTCTTTAAATTCTTTTCAACACGTTTATCGTTTTTAATATATGTAATCCGTACATCGTTCAGATATCAACAAAAATTTATATTTTCTGCAGAGTAATATAAATTATCAATTAGTATCAGTAGTATTCTTTGGAATATTCACAGGTGAACTCTCCTGGCCCTCAAGTGATCACGTGCTACTTGAAGAGAAACTCCAAAGCCCCTTGCTCCCCTGCAGGGGGGCAGTCGTCCCAGATGCCAGATCGTCAGCGCTTGAACATCAATTCTTCTAGGAGTCAACCGTCAACGGTAGGTACAAAGGTCAGATCCGAGGAAACGGGAGTCAACTCAACCTTCAGGGAAACGACGCTAAACGCAAGGCTAATTCCCCCCCCCCTCCCTGCGAAATAAGTGAATGAACAAAGATCAGATTTGCCACACTCGGGC